CTCTTCCTCCTCTCCAACCCCACTGTGCTTACAGAGCGTTACCAATTTACTGCACTGATAAGAAAAGTTAATTTGCTCTTCTCTTCCTTCCTTGCCATCTCCCACCCTCTATGCTGTACAGATTAGTTGGCTGGAGAGCAGGGAGGGAAAGGGGATGTGATGCGATGCTGCTCACTGTATGTCACTGGCTGTCAGGGCTGGCTATGGTGTGTGTGCACCCAAAGGTGCCTGCAAGCTCAGGGCCCCATGCCCCAGGGAGCTGCAAGCCACAGTTGGCTGTGAAGAAAATTAATTCCTGTGCTGGCTAGACAGGGCATGGCATGACTTAAGGGGAAGAAGCTGTTATGTTTTGAGGAGATAATTCTGATGCATTGAAAGAAGGACTCGTTAGTGCAAGAGCCCAGCTTAGCTCTGGGCTGTGCAATAAGTTGTTCCTGTTAGCCTCAACCCAGTCCACGTAAGAGCTGATGTATCTGAAGGTAAGAGTTGGCACATCCAAACCTCAGCCCTGGATTTTGCCGTGTCCAGGGTACCACCAGCTGCCCCAGGGCTCCCCTTCCTCCTCCTATGCCTTCCTCACCTGTATGGTACTTCAAGGCACCCTGGTTCTTACTGCTTTGGTTTGTCTGCAGATGCTTTTATCAATGGCTTGTTCTGAGCTGCTAAGGAAAAATCTGTTCTAAGGGGGGAAAAAAATCAGTACTAGAGAAAAGATTGTTACAAGCAAATTGTTTAATTTCCTGGTTTCTTTTGCTAAGTGGAACAATTTTCTCACACCATAGCAAAACTATTTCCATTTTCTGCAAGAACTAAATCCCAAATCTCCGTGCAGAATTTCCTTAACAACAATAAAGAGGAACTTTGTTCCTAAATTCCCAATATACACAGAAAAGCACAAAAATGGCATGAATTCTTAAATTCCAAACATATACCATTTCAAATAATTGCAAAAACCAATGTTCTCTTTCCTCATTCTTCATCTATTTGGGGGGAAAAATAGATACTTTAATAACTCACAATACAATAATCATACATGCAAAGCCACCCTATACCAAAATGAAATCGCTCCTGGACAGTTCACAACATGCTGGTGGGAGGTGAGGTCTTGTTCTAACTCACCCAAGGAAGTGATTGTCCCGTAGACACAGAATGATTACTTAATGTCTTGTACTATTGAAAATACCACACAGATATTTTCCAAAGTGTATGCAAAATTCTAATCATTTAATACTATAGTTTGGTGAAAAAGGATGTGGAAGAGTGAGGCTGAATTGACCGTTAAAATAATTTTTTTATAGTCACTTGAGGGTTACTGGTGGCTGACACTTGTTTTATTTGGCAAGAGCCTTAGTGTTTGGCTCATCTGTAATCTTCTACATTTTACTCCTAGTCCAGATAGTCTCTTGCGAGCCTGGGGCAAGTGTCCTTGGGCTGGTTTCTTGGGTGCCTCGGGTTATGAATATCCACTTTGCTCACGAGATGATAGCAGCAATGAGTCTTGTTGATGTCTTATAATCAGTGTATCACTTATCACAAAACACTTGATGCCTTTCACAAATTATTTTTAGGAAGTAAGAGAATTGCTTCACCTGCCATTGAAATGCAACAGTAGCTGGGATGGAGAGCAACACTGCTCAACAGTACACAGCTACACCACACTGGGGCTTACAGGACAAGGCTACAGTATTCGTCTGAAGCAACTAGAGGAATTTGGACAGAAAAGGTAAAATTATCCAAAAGAAGCTTAGACCACAATGACAGACGTGTTACTATTAACTTAAGGAACATTCATTATTAGTTTGTTCATTTTTCTGTAACAAATCCGACTGGTCTGGATCTTGGGTTTCTGTGCTACCAGCACAGCAATATTTCCAGAAGCACAGGGTGAGGTTCATGACACCCGACTCTGGTTACTCCCAGCATAGAAGACTCCACCTGAGAGAGTCCCTTTACAGTCAATGGACAGAAATAGACACATCACAGGCATTCATCTCCTCCCAAGGTATGGGCTTTCCTTGGAAGACTATGCCAAGATGAGAGGAGCTGCTTCATGGAAGTCCCTAATTGTCCCCATTAACTCTAAAAGGACTCTAGAGGAGCAGCCTAGGTCGGGTGTCTGTGTTACAGGCATGTAAATTCAGGTAGCTGAATCTCAGCCTATAAGAAAACTGGCTGAGCAGAAAGAAGGTTTGGGGTCTTTTTCCCTTGAACGCCCTTCTCTTCCTGGATTTCCTTTCAATGCTCTGGCCCAACTCAACCAACAGTTGTGCTCACACATAACACAGAATGGCATTGCACTGCTGTGTTTAACTACAGATTCTTTAGAGATGCTAAATATTGACCTGTGCCTAACACTTCACCAAACAAGAATAAATTAGCACTAAGGAAAAGCAAATTAATTTGCCTCAATGAATCTATTTTGTAAAATGCCCTGGAGAGGTATTAAATTAAGCTTGCTGCAATGCCAAAGTAATTTCTGCTGGCGCTTTCCCAACACAGGGTGTACAGCCGCATAGCTCCCACCGCCTGCGTTGTTTCAGGATCCCAGGATTTATTTGGCAGGCTTGTTCTTCTTTGCAGGTGCAGGGAGACTGTTCAGATCTTCTTGTTTGGTGACGTTGTGATTGGAGCTATCGTGAGAATAGTCCTTCATAACACTGTAGTACACTGGGGCGGCGTACGGCGTGGGGTTCCCAGCACTATTCTCTTCACACTTGCATAACTTCCTAAAGGCAGCCCTGAATTTCTGTGACATGAGATTGTAGATGATGGGGTTAATGGCACTGTTCAGGTAGATGCACATGCGACAGAAGAGAAGGAACCAGATGTTCAGGTACGGAGGGTCCATGAAGGAGTTCACCACCACCAGTGTGCGGTAAGGCATCCACAGAAGGGCGAAGAGGACCACCACGACAGCCAGCATTTTGGTCACCTTGCCAGTGAGGATATGCAAAAAGAGAAATAGTCAGATGATGCTAAATCTCCAGCAGAGCCTTCCCACCTGGAGAAATGGTGCAGACAGATAGTTCGGTTTACATATGGCTTATCTCTCTCTTTAAGCATTTCAGATAGGCACAGAAACCATGGTGCTATTCCTCTTGGAGTCCGTTTTGTTCATGAAATGATCTTGTGTAAATAACCCCCTTAAATGACAGGTTTTCACCTACCATTGAAGAGCCTTTAAAGCTCTTTAGGACAAGTATCCACCAGCCTGCAAATGGGCTGGGATAATCATGGGAATTTCTGTACAACAAAGCAAATTTGAAATTTGCACAGAACAATAAATCAATGGGGAAATTAACTTGTGCAGAAGTGGGGTCCTAACTTTTGGGGGTGCCACGGGGTATATCTCAACTCCCTGCCTAGGGTCTTCTGCTTCCCTGTGCCAGCTGTGCTGCTCCCAGGGATAGGATCCTGGTACAGAGCAGCACTGAGAGCAGAGGAGACTGCCTGAAGTCTTACACAAATTCCTACTTGTGCAGATATGGGAGTTACTTAGCTAATTTTTATGAGGTATTTTAATTTGCAGCACGCTAGGGAAGTACTACATTAACATATTAGGAACAAGAAGATACTGAGAATTCAGAAGTGAGCAGTAATTGCCCTCAGCTGGACTCAAGCTTGTTTAAGAAAATGGGTTTTTTGTACTGAAACTCCAGTGATCCTAATAATTTCGGCAGCTATTTCTGGTAGGTGACAATCATCCTCCAGCAAATACAGAATATATGCGTCCCCAAGGAGGAAAGTATGAGTAAACACTGATGTGTGCATATTAAGTCAGTGGCGTTTCAAACATCAGAAAGTGAATTGTGCAATAACTCCAGTTCTCAATATGGAAATAAGCACTTAGATCACGTCTCCAGTCTCTTGGCTTTTCTCAGAGTGCTTTTTTTTTACTTAGTCACAAGCAGCTATGCCTTTCTGTAATGCTTTGAGTAGAAATTGGGGGTGGTTTGTAGTGGCAACAAAACTTTCCCCACACGAAAGGGACTGTTGTCAAGCTGAGGCCAAAATAGAAGTGTTTTGCTCTGTGTGGTTTAATGGGAACGTGAGGACATTTTCCAGAATAAGATCTTGCAGTGATATGTGAGTGCTGAGGCTGTTGCTAAGACTGCGTGTTTGCTGCCGCAGTTTGTTTCCTTTGGGGAAAGGTATGAGAGATTGTACAAGATGTGTCAGTAAAAGGTAGCTTCAGAGCTTTTCAATGCCTTTTACAAGGACTGGCTGGGTGCAGAAGAGCAAGAGCCATCTCACAAGCTTTTGGTTTCAAGCCACCCTATCTAGCGTGCAACTGCTAGGGTGATAATCTGGTTCATAGAAATAGTCCTGAACAGGTAGGCTGGGAGTGGATAGCAGCAGCAGCTTGGCACACAGCTGGCCATGGTCAAAATCTCTGCGTACCAGCATAGTTGTAGCCGCTGCCTCCCTCTGTGGCTGGCAGAGCAATCCAGGCTCGATCACCCCTTGCCAAGGGAAGGAGCATCCTGACAGCAGTGGTGAAACTGTATTGATGTGGTCTGCACTGCAAGACCTGAGAACAGAATGCTCCCAATGCCAGATCAGCCCAGAAAGGCACAGATTTTGCTTCAACGCTGTGTGCCACATAAGTAGTGCATGTCCATGGGACCTGCATTTTCTACTTCTCTCTGTATCTTTATAGCAAATAGACATGGCAGCAGTGGAACCCCCTTCTCAGGTTTGCAGGGAGAATTGTTTTTGCCATATTCTTGATGCACCTGAGGTTTATTTCCCAAGAACCTGAATGAAGTTGATCTGAACAGAACTGTGCTAATAGCTGAAGCCTACAGCAAAATGCAGCCAAACTCCTCAGCTTAAATGATCCTAAGTACAATTTCAGTCAGAATTTAATTCCTCTCTACTAAGCAGTTTATTCCTCCTTGCAGATGAGGCCAGGCTCTGTGCTTTTCCATCCCACGCAGAGACCGAACACATCCCGATCCTGCCTGGAGGGGTCCATGTTAAAGGGCTGTCTTGGGGGCAAGCTTGGTGGGATCTTCCCATCAACTTCAGCAGTCCTAGGCAGCAGGCTTGCTGCAAAATACGTCCTGGGAAAGTGAAACACCACACCTCTGCAGGTCCTCACTCGGACCCTGACACTCTTCACTCAGCGGTTGCCTCAATTCCCAAGATGCAAATTTACCCCCCATAGGGCTGGGGAGGGTGAATCCCTGAGCTTTCGAAGGCTGGCTCTGCTCCCTGGCAGGTGTCCCTTCTGGCTGGGAAGCTTCTGTGTGGCCAAAGTCTCTCCTTTAAAGCTAACTGATTAATACTCCTCATGTGCCTTCTCCCGAGACTGAAACATCTTCAGCTTTCTGACTATTGTAACTGTCTGCCTTGTTTTACTGTGCTGGAACCCATGACGCTTGTGAGGAGTGATCTGAGTGCTGCACAGGAGTGACAGCACCAGGGGGAACATATCCTAATAAGGCTGAAAAGTAAGCTCATTCTGGTCTTTTCTGAGACCAAAAGAAATGTAGCCTGGAAAAGAACCAGTGATTCATCTGCTTTTTAGCCATAACTACCCCTGCTTTTTGGCTGGTTGTTACAGCAATGCTGGTTGTGCCAGCGAGTGCCCGCCCAGCTCCCATCCAAGAAAGCTCCCAACACCTCCCTCCAGACCGCAGAAGAGCACAAAGTGCTGTCACCCAAAGAGGGCTTCCTGCTATGCATCCTACAGCCCTGTGAGAAAGCCATCTTTGCCTGGGAGGGCAAACTGGCTGGGAACAGCACCATGAGGATTTATTACCTCTGCTCACTAATGCTTTCAGCACTCCCCGAGGATGCTGCATCCCAATGCAAGCCGGGACAGGCAGCCCTGTCCTGAGCTTGCTGTAAGATTGAGATTTGCCTTTTAAAGCCAACTGTCTGTATGGACCGTGTGCTCCTGGGTGCAAGTTTAGCAAAGTTGTGTCGCCATAGGATGTCTCCTCTGGATAAAACCTAGCGGTCTATCCCAAACTCACTCTCCTATCTCCATCATGGGGAAAGAAATCTCCAGCGCTGTCTGCATGCATGGTGGAAACCTGTGTCTGTGCCTTTCCTCATTCTACCTTGCTGAGGCAAGTAGCTACGGCACACCTGAGGTGCTCAGAACTTCTTTCTGGTGCTCATGTGAAAAATTAACCTAATCAGTGCTGAGGAGAGTTTGGGACATTTATTCCTAACTGGAGTAGTCCTGAATTATGGCCCAAAAAAAACGGCTGCACTCAAAAAAGCGAGAGCTTTGCTGTAGCCTCAGGGAAGCACCAGCTCAGGGATAATGATTTTTCCAACAAGTGTTTTGCAACAACTCTGTTTTCACATAGGATGTGCACACAACAGCTGTAAAGGAGCTATGGACAGAAGCAAGACAAGGGTTTGTAGACAGAAGGGGATGTTTTACTAGAACAGCTGAAAACCACTTTTGAGCACATAAGCCAGAGTTGTTGCTGGATGGCCAAGGGTATCTGCTGTACAGACCCCTGACTACGCCCTGCGTCCCTATGCCAGAACTAAGGGGCAGCTCATCTTCCGCCTCCACGGGCCAAGCCTGGTGTAACTCCTAGAGCAAACCCACTGTGAGCATCCTTCTTGCTTCGTACAAGATGATCACCATCCTGCATCCCCGCACAGTCCTTCCAACCCATCCCCTCTCCCAGCGCTGTCTCCAGCCTCTGCCCCTGCCCTGGAGGCCACAGACGCTTCTCCCCAGCCAGTGCCACCCCTCCTTGTCCAGGCACCATCATCCCGAGCCGCAGCATCATTCTTTAGGAATCCCACTCCCTCTAGTGGTTCCTCTCTGGCAGGTGAAATACGTGCTTGGAGGTGACTGGTGTTGGTATCTGTAGCCTTTTCTTCTACAGGTGATAAATACAGCAAAACTCACACCTTGCGTTCTCCTGCTCTGGACTTCTGTGGTTTAGAGGCACCAGTGAGGGAACAGCAGCATCTTCACACCTTCAGCATCTTCTGAAAAGCAAGCAGTGCAGCTCTGGGGCTGTGTAGGAGCACTTCCACAGCAAAACACCCCCAGCTATCCAGGCTCTTTAGAGTCAAGGGAGAAAAATGGGCACCTCTGGGGTAGCCCCTTTTGGACATCTCTCAGGGGACACTGGGCACAGTGCCTGGAAGAGCTGTTCCCCTATAAAGAGAGGCCAGAGGAGGAGGGCCCATGTGGGTGCCTGTACCCTGGTCAGAGGGACCCCTGAGCTACACATACCACAGTGCCCGTCCTCCTACTCTGCTCTGCTCTCCTGGCCAACAGATCCTCCAGGAGCCTTCCTCTTGTACCACCGGCCTGTGATGGGAACCCGGTAGATAGAATCATAGAATCATAGAATGTTTAGGGTTGGAAGGGACCACTAGTGGTCATCTAGTCCAACCCCCCTGCAGTGAGCAGGGACACTGCTAACTAGATCAGGTTGCTCAGAGCCCCATCCAACCTGGCCTTGAATGTTCCCAGGGATGGGGCCTCTACTACCTCTCTGGGCAACCTGTTCCAGTGTTTTACCACCCTCATTGTAAAAAATTTCTTCCTTACCTCTAGCCTGAACCTACCCTGTTCTAGTTTAAAACCATTTCCCCTTGTCCTAACACAGCTGGCCCTACTAAAAAGACGTTCCCCATCTTTCCTATAGGCCCCCTTTAGGTACTGGAAGGCCGCAATCAGGTCTCCCCGTAGCCTTCTTTTCTCCAGACTGAACAAGCCCAACTCTCTCAGCCTGTCCTCATAGGAGAGGTGCTCCAGCCCTCGGATCATTTTTGTAGCCCTCCTCTGGACCCGTTCCACATGCTTGCACACCATCACCCCAGCCAACTCAAAGGTGTTTGCAGGGTTGGAGTCCTGCTTTGCCGCATCAGCAGGACGCAACCTGCTGCCTGCAGAGTCCTGTGAAGCTCTCGCTGCATGTGTGAAGCCTGTCAGACAGCAACACCGGTGCTGGTTTGGACCAGACTTGCATCTGTGATTTCTTATGGGGTCTTTAGTGGCTTAGTCCACATGGCAATTACATTTTAAAGAAGCTGCACCCTCACTTCAGTCTTCCCTGATGGTAGCACATGCATCATTTTCGCAGCCTCTTCCTTACCCTGTCAGATTGGAGACCACCAGCATTTGTTATCAGAGCAGTTACCAATGCCGTGTCCTCACTTCTGATGCTCAGGACAAGACCCCTTACCAAGGGCCCCAGTGGAAATTCCTGGTGAAGTTTTCAAGGGCTGTATGCACTTCTCAGGAGAGCACAGCATGGCCTGTCAGGCTGCCCTTTCCTTTCCACTCTGGCTACAGGTGTTTAATGAGCAAGGAAACCTGCTTATGAGCTCCTCGCCTAACATCGGCTGTTGCAAAGCAGCGTCTGGTGGTCCCAGCTGAGATCCGTCTGTGTTTCTTCTTTCCACAAGTTTCCTCTGTTTTTGAGGGCAGTGATGCCATGGCTATCAGAAAATCAGAGAGGAAATCTTTCTTCTGCTGAAGATGACACAGGATCCCGGTGTCCAGGCTGCTCCCTTTTAGGGTGCATACCTAAGAAGACCACTCAGGCCCCTTCTGTGCCTCTCGCCCACCTTTGCTAAAGCCAAGGTAGTGGGGTGTCCCATGGATCCGGGTGCTGAGGGTACTATGGGGGGCCATACCCCCCCCAGCTTTGCCCTGCCCCTTCATATGGGCACATGCACCTCTGTCTCCATTGCCCACATGTCCCACCATGGGACCCCCACTGGCCATGGGAATGCTCTCCTCCATGCTCACTTTTAAGCCCCTTTTCCTATCCAGCATCTCCATCTGCCAGTTCTTCTGGCATGAATGGATTCAGCTGCCTTCCTTCTCACATTAAAATTCCTTTCTTAATGATCTGCCCATTCCCCAGCACCCAGCCCACACTTCCCCTGTGCTCTGTCCCCACTGCCCCTCTGGGGTCCTGTATGCTGCAGCATCTTCCTGAAAATATCATTCCTGTGGCCCTGGCTGCCCCTGCTCAGGGATACAAATTTCAGGCAGTACCCAGTGATGACCCCTTGGGGTCTCTGGAGGCCTCTCTCCTCCCTGGGAGGTTGGGTGGTTGGGTTTTCCCTCATAACGAGATGCAGAATCATGACTCACTGCAGCTTCTGCTGGTCAATCCATCGCATGCCAGCAAAAACCTCCAGCTGGATTTCGGTGCTGAGGTAGATGCTCTGATAGGACCTGGGTTTGTTATGCTCAGAGGGTTCCTGTACGCCCTGCCTGAAACTCTCAGCGAAATAGCCCTGTGGTTTTACTTGGCTTTGCTGCACAGATAACTTATTTCTACACCGAGCATCCAGCAGATCAACCCCTCAGCAATGAATCAAATGCTTAAAATTGAGCTCCCAGATCCTGTTTTTTTCCCCCTCTGAATTTTATGGCCAGTCATATAAATTTCCCTCTCATTATATATAAAATGAAGCAGTCACATCCCATGCCATATCCAACCTGTGAAAGATGTTTATGGGAAAACCTGGATTGCAGCCACCTCTGGGGCGCAGCACTGCATCCATGTGTCAGCCACCAACCCAAGTGCCAGCCACCTGGCCCCCATGCCACCGGTGGCACAGCCGGGGTTTCCTGCTCCAACACTCTCAACGCAGCCTGCTTTGAAGAGCTGCTGGTGTGAAGTCAGAAGGAAACATTCAACAAAACATAGCTGGAAGCCCTGGGAAACTGCTTTACGGTTTAAAAAGTCGGTGTCATCTTTATTCCTAATGATGCCAGCTCTGCCATGTCAGGCCAGCCAGGGGAACTCTCTCCACGCTAAGGTATTTCAGGAGGTAATGATGATCTTGAGAAAGCTCCTGGCGTAACAGAGGAGAGATCACAAGATGTTTTCCAGACCTGGAGCATCGGGACTAACAGCCTCAGCCACTCGTCCTAATGACGCTGGGGCACGCTGTGTGCAGCACAGCCGCTCCACGGCAATGGGGGGGAGTGGCACAGCCCTTGCAGTGGCTGCTCTGGAAGGAGAGGTCCCTTGACCTGAACGTTTAGGTACTGCCTTGTAGTATCTCAAGACCTCACTGCTGAGAAGCCTGTCCGAGGCTCCTGCAGTGGCCAGTGACCCTGGGAGAGTGGGCAAGTATTTTTGCAGAAGTCAGGACTTGCTTTAAACCTTTCTCTGCTGGAGCAAAGGGAGAAAAAGCTAAACTGGAAAGAGTTAGAAGTTCATGAAGAAATGCACGTTCTCTGGGCCGTTCACTTCCCCTCTGTGACTCTGAATCATCTCTCCTGGGGAATGGAGGTTCCTGCGCAAGTCAGGCAATGAGCTACTGAGCTGGAAACACGGGGACTTTAGGACAGGCTGAAGCCTATTTCAGGCTGCCTGGAAATCACAACAGAACTGGTGATTTCAGTGATTTAAGCCAAACTCCCAGATTCAGCCTTTCCCTTTAAAATAGCCCATGTCTCTGCCTATGTGAAGCTTGAAACTGGAATGGGACAGTCTCCTGCAAATGGCCAGCTAGGAGGCAACAGTCCCATGCCCAGATGCCGTCCTGTCCAACGAGATGGGGCAAGAAACAGTAATTGTTCATGTGGACAGAGCAGGAGGAGGAATGAGGGCAGGAGGTAGAGGAAGGAGCTGGGGAGAAGGCAGCTGAATGGAGAGGAGCCACGGAGAAGGAAGACACACCACAGTGGCACCGAGGCACCTTCCCCAGCTGCAGGGACCAGGGGGCTGCAGCCCTGGCAGGGCGGGGGGGGGGGGGGGGGGTCATGCCAGCTCTCCCCTCCCTGTGCTTCCCTAAATCCAAGGTCACCATCCCAGGACCCTGTCTGGGAGGTAAGTCCCGCTGGCATAATACGACCCAACACTCCCCTCCTTGGGGAGGCAGTCAGTAATTAATTATCCAGCAAACACTCCTGCACTCCTGCCTCTCCCAAGTGATGCTGGAGCCCTGTCCCACTCCACTGATCTCAACCAAAGCCGGGGGAGCCCATCTGTGCTGCCAGACCCCAGCTGGGCTTGGAGGGGACCCCCCTGGGACCCCCCCCTGCAGCAAACTGACCCACCCAGCTCCCCCTACACAGAGAAGAAAAATATTGGGGCACCCCATCCCACGTCTGAATGCCCCTCAAAGCACCAAGCCCCCGACAGTGCTGCCTGCAGCCCAGTGTGCCCCAGCCCGCGGGGAGCCCCTACCTGCTTGCGGGAGCTCAGGGCCCCCCTGTTGCCCCGGCAGGGAAGCTTGAGGGAGCCGCCCTGGTGCGTGGAGCCCAGGCAGGAGTGCTGCGGGGTGGTGGGCAGGGGGCTCATGAAGAGGATGCGGGCAATGAGGCCGTAGAGGACAGTTGCCAGTCCCAAAGGGATGATGTAGAAGACAGCAAAATCCAAGAAGTAAATGGGCATGTAAAGGCTTCTGGAGACCCGGTAGCCACAGCTGACCTGTGCCCCATCCGAGAAGGTGACCTGGGTCGTGTCCACCAGGAAGAACCACATGAGGCAATAGAGAGAGGTGAAGAGCCACAGTGAGGAGATGATGCGCTTGGCACGGGACACGGTGCACAGGAGCTGTGCTTTGATGGCATGGCAGATTGCGATATAACGCTCCACCGTGAAGGCAGTGATGGACCAGGCGGAGATGTTGATGCCCAAATACTGCAAATAGGTGATGCAGAGGCAGCCGGCGTAGCCGTACACCCAAGAAGCCACCACTTCCGAGATGTTGGGCAGCCCAGCCGCCAGCAGCACGATGAGGTCGGCCACTGCCAGGCTCACCAGGTAGCAGTTGGTGGGAGTCACCATGTGCTTGGTGCGCAGCACCACCAGCACCACCATCACGTTGCCCACGATGCCCACGCCACAGATGAGCAGCACCAGCAGGATGGTGACCACCTGCAGCTCCAGGGGCTGCCGGGGCATCCTGCCCAGGGTCTGGTTGCCGCTGCCGCCCAGCGCGGCTCCCG